ACAGAAAGAAATACAAGCAAGCAAAATTTGAGCGAGTTGCCAGTATCGCACTTTAAAACGAAATTTCTACATTCTAAAGAATTTGGGATAGCAAAGACGCTTGTTCAAAAATATAATACTGACTAGGCAGTAATAAAGCCGACCCTGATTTTTTGCGTACCTAAGCAGCTTCTAATCGCTGCACCGATTACTTATTCGGTTATCTCTTTTCACTTTGTCTGTACTACTCATGAAGCATTTTCTCCTATTCTTTCTAATACCTCTTCATTTCTGACCTTCTCTATCCGTGATGTCCTCATGATTTGTCCATATTTCGAATGCTTCTAACCTTTTCTTTTCCGCCGTTCTCACTGTCCATATTTCGCACCCGTACAGCGCCTTGCTCCAAACATACACCTTTTATAATCTTTTTCGAATTGGTAAATTAACCGTTCCCGAGCATAGAAGCATCTTTTTATTGAAGGCGACCCGATCCTGCGCTACTATTTTCATACAATATTGTTTTGTCAATACCGCTTCCATTTTATTTAAGGCTATCTCCAAGTTATTTTGTATCTGAACAAAAATTCCGAGTTAGGTGCAATAAACAAAAATAATAAATAAAGAAATACGTAATGCAATTTATTATTTTTTTGAATTAAGTAAGTCTTTTTTAGTTGTTAACACGAAATCAGAGGTCACAGTGGCAATTATTGACATGTACTGTTTTTAATAACATTAAAACAGATTAGGTAGCTGTAGTTGTGACAGACAGTAACGTTGTCGCTGCTTAAGTGAACTTTTATATTTTGTTATTTAAAACGCCACGACCGTCTCACAAATTTCCTACATTAGCTTATGTATTTCCAGATCCATTTACTCACTTGCTTTTTATTTCGTTACTTCCAATAATTGAATTTCATGTCCCCAGAGAATATTCGACGGGGATAATAGGTAATCTAAATTGTAATGTAAACTTTAAGACTCTTATCAGAATTTGTTAATTAGTTTTTACAGTATTCCCTAACAAACATACAAATACACGAAACATCTATAGAAAATTTTAAGAAATAACGTCTTATTGTGACACTCAGAAGTTTGTAATGTTAAAACAATTGAAATAAAAGAAGTTTGGTAACAGTATTGTACAGATATCTTCCTAACTAACTCGCAAAACGATTCTCATGAGAATTTAAGTGGTTTTATAGTGCTAAGTTAATTTGTTTCCAAAAGTCTCTACGCTATAATTTAGTGCTTTTTTGGTGATCTAATTAAAATTCTAGTGCTCCATTCCTTATATGAATATAGGTTTTCAATGAGGAATAAGGTAGTACACGCACGCCAACGTTTCTTAGTGAAAGAATTTACTTCCAAAAGTACGCTATAATTTAGTGCTTTTTTGGTGATCTAATTAAAATTCTAGTGCTCCATTCCTTATATGAATATAGGTTTTCAATGAGGAATAAGGTAGTACACGCACGCCAACGTTTCTTAGTGAAAGAATTTACTTCCAAAAGTATGCTATAATTTGGTGCTTTTGTAGTGCACTGATTAAAATTTTAGTGCTCCATTCCTTATATGAAATTAGAAGTGGTTTTAAATGAGGGCTAAGGCAACACTCCCACGCCACCATTTCTTAGTGAAAGAATTTACTTCCAAAAGTAAGTATGCTATAATTTGGTGCTTTTGTAGTGCACTAATTAAAATTTTAGTGCTCCATTCCTTATATGATATTAGAAGTGGTTTTAAATGAGGGCTAAGGCAACACTCCCACGCCACCATTTCTTAGTGAACGAATTTGCTTCCAAAAGTAACTACGCTATAATTTAGTGCTTTTCTTGGCGATCTAATTAAAATTCTAGTGCTCCATTCCTTATATGAATATAGGAGATGGTTTTCAATGAGGAATAAAGTAGTACACGCACGCCAACGTTTCTTAGTGAAAGAATTTACTTCCAAAAGTAAGTATGCTACAATTTGGTGCTTTTTTAGTGCACTAATTAAAATTTTAGTGCCCCATTCCTTATATGAAATTAGAAGTGGTTTTAAATGAGGGCTAAGGCAACACTCCCACGCCACCATTTCTTAGTGAACGAATTTGTTTCCAAAAGTCTCTACGCTTTAATTTAGTGCTTTTTTGGTGTTCTAATTAAAATTCTAGTGCTCCATTCCTTATATGAATATAGGAGATGGTTTTCAATGAAGAATAAGGTAGCACACCCATGCCAACGTTTCTTAGTGAAAGAATTTACTTCCAAAGGTAAGTATGTTATAATTTGGTGCTTTTGTAGTGCACTAATTAAAATTTTAGTGCCCCATTCCTTACATGAAATTAGAAGTGTTTTTAAATGAAGGCTAAGGCAGCACTCCTACGCCCCCATTTCTTAGTGAACGAATTTGCTTTCAAAAGTAACTATGCTATAATTTAGTGCTGCAATCAAAATTTATTTAAAAAAACAATTTAGTGACAACCAAAGAGTTACAGTGAATATAATGATAATTTTGTTTCCAGTGGCAAGAAATCTTACTATACTAGCAATATTTTTCAAACTTAGAAGTTTTATTTTAAGCATTTTTCGCTACTCGAGGGAAGAAATCATAATTATACAACAGATCGGATTTAATTATGCATGCACTTCTTCTAAAGCACTTAAAAGTACTAAATTATACTTTTGGAAACAAATTTGATTACTAAGAAATTTTCACTCAGAACTATCACTAATCATTATGTAAAATTTTAATTAAAGCATTAAATTAACACTAAAAAAACACTAATTTCTCATTGAATCGTTCTGCGAGTTTGTGATATGGCTATGCTAGCTTGATATGAGACATATTGCTAAAGAACTTCAAAGGTTAGGTTAAGTACCGAAAGTATTCGGGGAGTATTATCATGCAGGGTGGTAAAGGTTTTTAAAGGTTAAGTTAGGTTACTTAAACAATTAAAAACTTAAAATTAAAAATAAGTGATCGATGAGCTCATTGATAGATAAGTTAAGTGCAAAAACACTATCAAAAATCGTTAAATATGTATACAATTTGAAGGTCAGGCACAGAGTGAAGTTTTGAAAACGCTGTTGAACGTCCAAACGACTCGATACTTTTCTACACACTTAATGTTACTTGAGAATAAAATATGCAAAAAGTGTAGTCCAAAAATACCTTCTTTCATCGCATTAATGTTGAGTTACAGTTGACAAGGTTGGCTTCTTCTGAAGTTATAGAATGTGTTAAAAAATATGGGGTCATTTAGAAGTCGGAAATTTTGAGTACCTCGTATGCAGTCCTATATTATTATACTCATTTTTTTGGTAGAAAATACGTATTTACTATTTGCGCCGTTTCAAATTGTACTTATTAAATATTTGACGATATTAACTTTAAAAACAGCTATGTGCAGACAATCAGGCATATTAATAGGTGTAAATATAAAACATAGAGAGCTGTGTTTATAGAGATACTAACTCAAAAGTTTATCAGTAGGTTATCAAATGCTGCAAAATAAGCAACAAGGGGCAAACTTTTTAAATCACTTTCAACGTTCAATTTTTGAAATAATTGAGGTAGTGGCATGAAATAATACGATTATTATTCAACTAATAAAATTTTCTATTTGATAAGGAACAGTAGGAGAAATGCATTAGATAGTTAATTTTTTCACATTTTTTGGATTTTGGCTTTTTTTTTGTTCTAACCTTGACCCTGTTGTTTTTGCAAGACTATTTATAATTTATTGCTATATTATCAACATGGTTTCGATATCTATTTTTTAAAGATTTAATTTTTCAGACTGAACAGAAGATATAAAAATTTATCCTGTTTTTATAAATAAATATTTACTCAAAATACATCATTTGATATTATTTTAATGAAACTTTCAATTCCGTCACCACCACCAAAGGACATGTCTGACCTATTTTTCGCCTATGCATATAAAAAATAATATCAGTTTACAACATTCTAATAAGTTGACGACGCTACTTATGTAGGTAAGTTTAAGGCATGTAAACTAACCTAACGGATTATGTTCATGGTTAGTGATTTATCGTAACAACAGACGTGGATCTCATCAGCACGCCATAGGCAGTTTTAATAAATCATCGACCAAATTGAAGAACTAAATTCGTTTTTAAAAAATATAAGAGAATACCAACAGGCATTTTCTGAAATTAGGGACAATATGTTCGTGCGTATGCCGTCGATTACAGCCCGAAAATGGGTTGAATAAGACACCTTCGTTACTTCTTATTTTGAAACTAGAGTAACCTACACCTGAATTTACAAACAGTAATCTACTCTAGGTCTACCTCTGCCCCTCTTAACTCCTGTTTCTGCCTCTAATAGATATCTAGATGACCTACCAACCTATTTCGCCCTATTCATACCAACTTCTATAACATCCCGTGACCTCTGTTCTCCTACTCTTTCTAATGCCTCCTCATTTCTAACCTTTTCATAAATTCGATAGGTATTTACATAATTTTTTGAAAATAAATGTTCTCTAGAATTTAGTAATCGTTTATATTTTTTGCTTGGCACTGTACATTTAGCGATTCGCGTTATTGCGCAATAAGTATTTTTAAATATATACATATATGCACTTTAATCAAAATGCAGCAACAAGTTACATATAGTAAGTATCCCAGCTCTCCTGTTTGTACACGTGATCACCGAGTTGCCCAGGCGACCTTTGCCGGTGCATTTCATCTACTTCGAGCACGGTGCACTCACTACCAGTGCAATTAATCGTAGAACGCAAACTCTCTGCGAAACGCGAAGAACAACAAGTCGATTTTAATACCGACATTGTGTTTTGGCATGGTGTAGCTACCTACGAAACAAGCGCAAAACCAATTGGCCGCTATAACAATATCCTTGAACAAAGATCAATCGGTAAATTGCCATGTAGGCACGTTCATAGGTGAGCATTATTATATGTACCTATAGATATGTTGGACGATCATGAAAGAAAAGAGTAGCTAGGTGTAATTTTTAAAATATTCACAAAACACATGTCTAACCTGGACGTGGACGCAGAAGTAGAAGGAGTGGGAGTCATGTCATAGGAATATCCACAGGTTGGGGGTGGCGGCGGCATGTACCACTGCTTCCTAGGCATGATGTATGTGGACATTGTTTTCGTTCAAATCAACCACCGGGTGCAATTAAATCGCACAGGAGAAAATTACACTAACACATCGCGTAAATGTTTAGTACAATGACAGTAAGTTCAGACTCGAAAAACAACGATTAAAACGAACGAGCGTATTACTGAAACAGTAAAAATGGTAATGGCAAAACACAAGGTCGACGCCGGCCGACCGGATTGGCGATATAAAGTATGATGACAAAAACGATTGTAGCAACGTCAACAACAGCGGCGTGAACAGAAATCGCATGCGAAATCGGCGAAGGCTGATTTTTAACTGCGCGGTAGCAGGGAATCTAGCAATGAGCAAAGCAAGTAAGCTAGCAAACCGCGGCCCGGCTCGAAACAGCTCGAACAAAACAGTTGTCGGTGTATAAAAGATGCCACTTACCTTGGCAACAGAGAACCTTCGGGTGACACGCATGCCTCTAGTGGCGAATCCTCTTCCGTTTCGCAGTCACCGCTATCCATGACGGATGATGTAGCAGCAGCAACGTCTAGAAAAATAAATCAGTGAGTAAATTGACACCTGTTGTTGTCGTTCGGCGAAGGTACATAAATATGTAGGTATATGTATGCAGAACGCAATAATGGTTCACGTTGGAAAGGCCGTAGGCCAGCGAGCGCGAGTTGCAGAGCAGTCGATAGCTGTTCCTTCATCACTCACTATTACAGGCTGACCTACAGCAACTTACAGGCGCCTAGGTAACAACACCGGCCTAGGCGAATACTGGGAACCGGTAACCACATCGCAACGGCGCGGCGACGACCCAGCAGTAACTCGGTCGCGTGGGCCATGGACTTTTTAAAATTTTTTCAATTACAGTTTAGAGGATACAATGTAACCTACCAATTTTGAGATGTTATATTTTAAATCTTAGGTAAAAATTTCGAGAGAACTATATTTCATTAGGACAAGGAACAAGACAAGCATCACAATCGACCATTACTTTTTTTGATGTGATATTTACAATAAATTTTAAAAAACAAACATTTCATGTAATCAACCATTAATCCTTATTAACTTGGTCAAACTGTACAGTTAATTTTGTCGCAAAAATTGCGATTACCTTACCACCTTACTTTTGATACTGAACTGAATTTTTAAATATTAACACCGGTTTCGATCGATAACTTACTGAAATTTTAATGGAATCTGGGGAAAAGACGAGCCCTTGAAACTTGTAACTGTTTTCTCAAATTTATCAAAATTTGTCTTTATCATTTTCAGTACAGCGGGTAAAAACCCGCTTCTTGTCGACAAGGGATTAGTAATGGTAAATATATCGTTCTTTGCCGTGTAAAAACAATAATAAAAATATATATACTCAGTGGAACCTGGTTATAACAATATCGCTTATAACGACAACTTGTCTTGTAAATTCTTTTAATAACGACACGAGGTTATTACGCCAAAAGTTTGTCAGACGCTGTAACCAAATCTTGACGTATATCAATCATACTGTAACGGTATGACTAGAAATTTAATTCACTAGTAGATTGCATCCGAAAATGCAGTTGTTTTCGGGTAATTCATATTCTGTCAGAAAATAATATTTAAGCTGGTAAACTATGGCTTTCAAGGTACCTATACCATATACTACACCATGAAAGAAACTATGCCGATAGCAAACAACAACATGCAGCGCAAGCTGCCGAAAGATGAGCAGACGTTTGCGGTTGATAACAGTTTCCTTGGTGTCGTATCCGCAGCGCCGCGACAGTTTAATAAATATGTAAGCTTATGTAAACCTGAGCAGAAATTTCTTAGGGAAATCCCTAACACGATCCGCGCCGGATAGGGTTTTACTAGGGCGCATCTTATTAGGGCATTGGAATTTGGTTCTGATCCGGTACTAACATAGAAATACCTACTAGGCTGTCCCTGATAAGGTCCTCATTTGAATTGCCTCATTCAAGCCGTATTAAGAAATTCTCTATTTTAACCTATCTGGCCTTGATGTGGTACGCCTGACCTTGCCCTAATAGGCTGTGCCTGATTAGATCCTAATCCAATTTGCCTGATTCAAATCCTATGACGGAATTCTCTATTTTTATCTATCTGGCCCTGATGTCGTCTGCCTGACTTTGCCTTAGTAGTCTGTGCCTGATTAGATCCTGATCTAATTTGCCTGATTCAAATCCTATTACGGAGTTCTCTATTTTAACCTATATAGTCCTGATGTGGTATGACTGACTTTGCCCTACTAGTCGCGTGCCTGATTAGATCCCGATCTAATTTGCCCGATTCAAATCCTATTACGGAATTCTCTATTTTAAACTATATGGTTCTGACGTGGTATGCCAGACTTTGCCCTAGTAGGCTGTGCCTGATGAGATCCTGATCTAATTTAACTGATTTAAATCATATTACTTAATTCTCTATTTTAACCTATCTGATCCTGATGTGGTATGCCTGACTGTGTCCTATTAGACTGTGCCTGATTTGGTCCTGATTCGAATCCCATTACGGAATTCTCTATTTTAACCTATCTGGTCCTGATGCGGTATGCCTGAGTTTGCCCTAGTGATTAGATCCTAATCTACTTTGCCTGATTCAAATCCTATTACGGAATTCTCTATTTTAACCTATCTGGTTTTGATGTGGTATGCCTGACTTTGCCCTAGAATTTGCCTGATTTAAATCCTATTACGAAATTTTCTAGTTTAACCTTTACGGTTCTGGTGTAGCATACCGGACTTTGCCCTAGTAGGCTGTGCCTGATTAGACCCTGATCTAATTTGCCTGATTCAACTCCTATTACGGAATTCTCTACGGGTTTTCCAATGCTTGCAAATTTTTAAAAAAATATACGGCTTCTGCGATATTGACTTTCACGAGAAATTTATCAAATTATCTCTTATTACTTAGTTTTTAATGTCTCAAAATCAAACAGAGTAGATTCACGGTCAATTCTAATGTTTCCCTCGACTAATTGCTATTAGATTTCAAGCACATTATCTATTCATCAGGTAAATTGTAGAAATGTCGCGTGTAAGGCGTTCAGTTAAAGCCGTAGAGGTTTGCCAGTGAATATTCGGAAGGAAGCGGACGTTTTGTAGGTACTTTAATTTTTTATGAGATCGATTACTAGATGTATGTTTAACCTTTTAGTTTATGATGTATGTTGCTAATTTATTATAAGAATTTATTAGACCCGAATCAGGACATCGTCAGTTCACCTACATTTCATGCCGCTAATTCATAAATTTTGAATTTTCATGGGCGGTGCGACGGTAGTTCTGCATTTCTGACAATAAAATCTTAAAAATTAACTTTAGAGGTGCTACAACTTCATGCCACATCATTTTACTATAGAAAAACAGAATTATAATGTTAATTTTTAGATTTGTAACTCGCCTAATAATATGTCCCATTTTGGGTCAAACAATGACCCCACAGTTGTGTATTGGAAAAATAGTTACACCTGTATCAAACTCGGGGATGGTTCCGATCAGAACTGCAACAAAAACTTGCAATTCGTACGATCAGTGGTTTTTAAATTTGTAACTCGCCAAATATCCCATTTTGGGTCGAAAATGACATGAACCCTGGAATTTTGGATGAGTATACCGGAGTTTTGGGGGCGCAAATATAGTATCTGAGGTGAAACATACACAACCTGGGGCTGTTCCACCCAGAACTACTGCAACTGTACTCACGCTTAGTTCAAATTCGACGCTAATTTTTAGTGACCCTATTTTTCGATCAACTTGTAAACAATCGGGAAGACTTTTGAATACAGTCGTTCTTTAGGGATTACCCAGAAATTTAAAATTTTAAAAATTTACTGTAAAACTCTTTATTTCTTATTCTTTTTGGGTGCCTGAACTCTTTATTTTATTAA